TTATTCCTTATTCCTTTATCTTATTCCTTATTTTTCTCATTGTGACTGAGCCTTAAGGCTCTACTTTTTTAGAGCTCTATTGGAGTATGCGACGCGAACAAACCTACCATGGTCGGCATGGTCCATGGTTTGCCATCCAGTATCCAGTCATGCTTATTGATACGCATGGAAGCCGTATCGTCCTTGGCGGATGCCATTTACTGAAAAAAAGATACACATGAAAGTATGTAAATCATCAGTATGTAAGTGATTTCTCATCATTATTCCAAATTTCACGTTACACATGAGATATGTCGCGGCATCGAGACGTCCGTTCTATGAATTACTCGGATGGTAAGTGACTACAGCATGCGTGGTAAATCGTTTTATCCTGTCGAGATTTTTTAAAAATCCTTTCGAAGGATCTCTCAACTTTAATCTTTTAAAATATTAAATTCCGATTATGGCAATTTTTTTTTATTGTCCCGTTTATAAAGATTTATGGAGAATAGCAATATGGTTTCAACCAAGCTTTTAGCTCCAATTAATTATTTTTGTCTACTCTTTTTAATGTGTCGCACAAATAAGATGTTCATTCTTTTATATAGAGTATGACGGCTATGATGATGTTTACGGGCATTCAATGGAGGATGATTATTGTGTATCACCTAGTGGTATGTGCTTCATAGATTTCTCTGTTAAGTACTTTTAATGAAATTTAATCCTTTAGTAATTATGCATATATTATACACAGTGGAGCAGTTTTTATTTGATCGAAGCAAACAACAGAATATTGCTTCATTCATCACAGAACCAGATATAGTGGAAGACAATGAAGATATCGATGAATCTTTGCCATCGTCCGACAAAGATAAATATAACCTTTCTGAATTGGAAAGGACAAAGTTAGTATCTTGTTTGGAAACAATTAGAAATGTTATAGGTGACATGGTATCTGATTCTAAACTGAAGGAGAAGATTATTCTGTCAAATTTTGATGCAAATACAGCACTCGATGCTATTTTGAAGGAGTCGTCGCCGAAAAAAGACATTGGTATGCTTATCGCATCGTAATAGATACTGAAATTGAGATATTAAAATAGTATTAAAATGTTTTAAAAAATCTTGAAATTTATATTTACAGATTCTGTGGTGAATAAGAAACGATTGGAGCTGCATTCAGGTATATATTGCACAATATCTCATTTTTTGTGTTTTCAAAATATTATATTAAAACTATGTGAATATTTGGAATTACTTAATGACCTCGCTTTTATTTCTTTTTTTTCCATGTTTCTTGTACTGGGCTTCATCGGTAAGGTAAGGTGTTTCAATTGATAAATCTAACACATCCATGTTCACAATACCTAGATTTTCTTTTAAGAAAGATCATAATTTATCTAAAGATTCTACTTGGACTATTTGTCCACCGAATAGCATAGATAAGTCAAAAGATGTAAACCATTCCTTCAAAACTTTCTCATCATTAGCGGGGCTTATTTCCCATCACACCGAATCCACAAATTCAGATACAACAAAAATATCTTCTCAAAGTGACACAAATACGCAGCCTTTTAATTCTTTAGCCGCCTTAACTGCAGATTATTTGCAAAAATCTAATGTAGATAATAATATAGAATCTCGAGAAAGACATCAATCACCAATCTCACAATTTGTTATCCCGAAACTATCAATTAAGAAAAGTAATAATGAGGAAACGAAAAATGTACCTTTACCAAAGTTCCACAACAATGAAAATAGTACAAGACAGCTAATATCTACAAATATTTTGAGCAAACATGAAATCGATTTACTTCAGAAAGATTTTTCAAATATGGATACCTTCCCAAAAAGCAATATCGTGAGAGATTTAAAATCGCAAGAACAACTTAAAAATCCAATAAATATTGTAAACGAGATTTGCACTCCATCACCTGACGAGTGGGTGGATTTAAGTACTGCTTTGAAGGAAGCAGAATTTCTAGCTGACAGTGCTTTTCGCAATGCTAATTTGACTACTTCAAGAAAATTACATCGCAATATGCACAATTCAGAAATATATCTTGAAGATGACAATAGGGTAACACCAAATGTGCTACCTGTTACTTTAAATTTATGTGCCTTGAGATATGTTAAGCTTCCATGCACAAAAAAGAATGTTTCGGTATTTGGAAAAACTTTATGTAAAAAATGGAAGATAAAAAAACCAGTTCTTGGAGCCATTGCACAACATTTTAACACGGTTAAACCTTTCGATTTTTCTACTCCTTATCGAAATTCATACCGATCTTAATAATAAAATATCTAAGATAATAGATAGATGAAACAGGATACTAAATATGTAACATTTAGAGTATATTTAGAGTGGCAAACATTTTTTGTTTAAAAAAATATAAGAGAAGCATAATAGGGATAATTATATTTTAATTGTACTTATACTTTTATTCTTTAGCCTTATGACTATTTTTTTTTATTATCTTGTATTTATGGTAGAGAGATTTGATGAAGGCTTTATCAAAATTTTTTTAAACAAATGAATGTATTCATTGTATACATGCATATAGTATATGAATACATGTGTACATATACATACACACAAATATATATATGTATGTATATAAAATTATTGCAAAATGTAGCAATATAGACCATTTGTATTACATTTACATTATACAATAGTAATCATACATAGTTGATTTTTTTATATATAACTTGTGTAATTGTATATTAGCAATACAGCTATGTACATGATGATTTTATTTTATCTTTCCTATCGTGTAACTTAGCACAGCTGAGAATAAATTTTATGATAGGTAACAAATTATCAGCGAAACCTACATTGCAAGTTACAACGCCGTCTACCGTAAAGGTCGTACCGACCGGAACGAAACCTATTGTGAAGGGTTTTGATTTAAGTGGTGTAGAAAATACAGATTTATTGAGTCCACGTTGTGGGAGTCCTTCTTCCAATCGAAATAGTCCTGAGATAAAACGTAAAGAGGATACCATACAAAAGGAGAAAAGAACAGTCTCGTCGAAAACGAATAGTCCAAGATGTCAGTCACCCGTGTCGGGCCATGTAACACCGGAATTAGACTGTAAAGTAAAATTTAATGCATCTAACGAGGAGAAAGTGGACGTCGGAGCGATATACAAAAGTAAAAGAGGCGATAACAAGGAGCAGCTTTATTTGGTGGTCGTGGGACATGTTGATGCTGGAAAAAGCACATTGCTTGGGCGACTACTTTGCGATTTGGGTCAAGTGCCACAAAGACTTATTCATAAATATCAACAAGAGAGTAAAAAGATAGGAAAGCAGTCATTTGCCTATGCTTGGGTGCTCGACGAGACTGGTGAAGAAAGGTGATTATGCAACGTGTCATATTGTAGAGTCATTGTAGGGGAATATATCAATTATAATGCATCTTTAATAGAGAGCGAGGGATAACAATGGACATAGGCCACTCGAAGTTCGAAACAGACACAAAATCTATCACTCTCCTAGATGCACCTGGTCACAAGGATTTTATTCCGAATATGATAAGTGGCGCTACGCAAGCGGATGTAGCTTTGTTGGTAGTTGATGCAACCAGAGGCGAATTTGAAACTGGATTTGACAGTGGAGGACAGACGCGCGAACACGCCCTATTATTACGTTCTTTAGGTAATCCCTTCTTTAGGTCTTCCCCAGTGTCGCATTTTAATTATAAAAGAAGTGAATGTATTTAGCATAGATTTTTGTGTTACTTACAATTTAAAATTTTTATTGAATATTTAGGAGTGTCGCAACTAGCAGTAGTTGTTAATAAGCTGGATACCGTAAATTGGTCTAAAGATAGATTCAATGAGATAGTGGACAAAATGAGTGTGTTTCTGAAACAAGCTGGCTTCAAGGACACCATCACTTTCGTACCTTGCAGCGGTTTATCCGGAGAAAACATAGTAACAAAGCCAAAGGAGCAGCTCTCTAATTGGTAACATCTCGATATATATTGTATATATATGTATATATTCCATATACTACATATATTCCATATATTACCTACTTCTTATGAAATAATTTCGCAGGTATACCGGACCTACTCTAGTCAACGTTATCGATAATTTCAAGTGCCCAGAGCGGCCTATAAGTAAACCGTTCCGTTTTTCGATAAACGATATATTTAAGGGCACCGGATCTGGATTCTGTGTATCCGGTCACGTTGAAACGGGCATGGTATCCTTAGGTGACAAGGTTTTAATACTACCTCAAAACGAGATCGCAGTTGTGAAAGGTTTGTAAATTGAGTTTTTATTAGGCCTAGTGGATCATGACATAGAGATTATATGTCATGCTTTTAAATACACCCTAGGTCTCCAATCGGATGAAATTTCGACAGCAAACGCTTTCGCCGGTGATCACGTTGCGCTTACATTAGCGGGGATCGAGCAGCAAAACGTGGGTATTGGTGATATCATCTGTAATCCGCAGAATCCGGTACCTGTAACGACCTGCTTTCAAGCGCATGTTGTTATATTCGCGATAGCGAAACCGATCACGAAAGGGCTTCCAGTGGTGATGCACCAGCAGTCTTTGGTACAGCCGGCGGTTATCACGAAATTAATAGCGCAACTTCATCGAAGTACCGGCGACGTGATCAAAAAGAAGCCGCGTTGCTTACCGAAAAATTCTAGCGCGATCATTGAGGTCGCAACGCAAACACCAGTCTGCATGGAGTTGTACAAGGATATTAAACAACTAGGTAGAGTTATGTTGCGATTAGAAGGTACCACTATTGCGGCTGGTCTGATTACGAAGATTTTGTAATTCTGATGATATAAATGTAGTCTCGAATAACGTAAAGTAATTTATATACATGTAGAAGAATTGTACGTAGATCTAACATATACATATAGTATTTATATACATCACACAAAATGACATATATAAACTCCGTAGGTTGTTAGTTTATGTACCGCGGTCAATAATGCCTTCCACCTGAAGTTAGCTGCGTTCTATAGTACATGTAACGTGCACTATAGAAATCCCTGGAAAACAGCTACTTTATTGACCGCGACAAGAGTACAGAGAACTTTACTCAATTACTTAATTACTTAAGACTTTTTCTTAATATATCCTATAGTATATTTGTAATTGTTTATATCTTGAACGAGCGAAATTAATTTAGAATGTCTAATAAAGGTATGGTTACATTATTTTCATCCAAGATTAATATCAAATGCTTTATTTATTTACATATCATTTATTATTTCCTGATTAAAGATTTTGTGATGTATATCATCAAAGAAATGATCTCAAGTTACTAAGGTTTTAATGTTCTCTATGTATTTTGATACGCAAGTGTATTATATGACGATTAAAATAACTAATATTTTATAAGTTACAAAAATTCCTTTAATAACAAATTGCTTAATGAGAAAGTTATAATTTTTGATATATTAAATACATTTTTTTTTTAAATACATTAACACACTTTATCATAACAAAAGATACTGGACAAATTGATATAAATGTAATTATACATCCACCTCTCAATTATATCGATTTTGGTTTCAATACTAGCTACTTTAATTTTTCTTATATTAAAATGAATACAACAAAATATTTTTGCTTTAACTTTTTCATCTTGCACAACTGCTACATCCTCCGAAAAATGGGATGTCAACATTGTTTCCCGTATTTGGTCTACCAAGTCTACGTGTTGGAGGACGTGGCCTGTATATAATAAACAATTGTAGAAGTTATTGTCTTATTGTTTTACAAAAATAAACATCTGAATACTATACCCAGAGCCAGGATGATAGTCCCTTGAATACCGACTTCCCAATGAATTCATGCCAGGATTGAACAATGTCTGGAAACTATATCCAGCATTATGTTACGCGCATAAAGAAAAAATGCAGCTAATTAGTCGAAAAGTCATGATTTGTCATATAACAATGGTTCATTAAAATACAGCGGTTTATATAGCACTTACAACATGATGATCATATAAATTATTCCTGTAAAAAATCCGAGAATCCTCTTCAATCCCCATGGAGTAGATTTTACCACGTTACCATCTATAAGCAAATTATTATATACGAATTGTCTTTTGTACGCAAGAAAACAATTAGGTTAGATTTTACAGTATATTACCATCCGTTACATAAACCATATTTAAAGCAACACGCTCGTTGACTCGTTGAGTGGTGCAGAGACAAAATTTAAAGTTTATTTTCAATTCTTCGTGACATATAATTTTGCACGCAATTAAATTATTATGCGTAACTGGTGTAACCAGAGGACTTCTCTCTGATGGGTGCTTCTTCTTCTTCTTCTTCTAGTTTAATTGGCTCCTGCCTCTTTTCCGAGGACAATATTCACAATATGGCCAGCCTTTTCCATTGTTTGGTTTGTCTGATCTGAATCACTGATAGCGTTTTTTCTTGGCTGCACTATCGCCTACTAGTGCAACACTAGTGCAACACTAGTGCAACGCTATTGGGTAGTGCAGGGCAGTGCAGGGCGGTAGTGCAGCTAATGGCTCCTGCACACAGGACGCGGCAGCGCGGCATTGCGGCAACGCGGCACCGCGGTAACCAATCATCATCTGCCTTTCCGTACGACTTTCAAAAGTAGAACGGAAAGGCAAGACGGTAATTGGTTACCGCGGTGCCGCGTTGCCGCAATGCCGCGCTGCCGCGTCCTGTGTGCAGGAGCCATAAGAAAAAACGCTTTATGAGTGTAGCCGGTAGCGTATGTATGGCTGCTACTGGTAGCCGTGTGAATAGGCTTAAAGGCCTTCACACATAAAATGCCGTAAGGACGTAAAACGTAAGCGTAAGAAAATCGATCAATCCCAATCAAGTATTTTCCCCTACTGGGGTTACGGTCAGTACAATACTTGATTGGGATTGGTCGATTTTCTTACGCTTACGTTTTACGTCCTTATGCGATTTTATGTGTGAAGGCCTTAAGTGGGGAGCACACTTCTGCACAACGCATAATACGTAAGCATAAGAAAACTGATTGGTCTATTTCCTTATGCACATGTGTATGGACCAATCAATTTTCTTATGCTTACGCATTATGCGTTGTGCAGAAGTGTGCTCCCCACCGCAAGGCCATCGCACACAAAGGGTGCGTTCGGTTTGGACGCTCACGCGCTGTAACCCCTGATTTCCATGCACGCGTTGCCATGCGTTATAGCCATGTTATAGCGCGCGTTTGTGCTGATAGTGTTTCCATGCGCGCGTTATACATATATAAATGTGACAGCTCCCAATTTTATTACAAAAATACATGCGTATATACATGTAATATTTAATAATAAAAAATAATATAAATAATTGTAAAAGGAAGAGAGAAAAGAAGAATATTAAATACAGAAAAAGTAAATAATCTATTAACTAGCTTTTAGTAAAAAAATATTACGTATACAATTTTCTCTAAAAAAATATTTTACGTTTTCTCAATAGAGTTAAAATAAATATAATTTATTATTTAAAAGATATTACTAAAAATGTATAATATCGTAATATTTATTTTTTAACAATGAGATTATTTCATATAATATGTATGAAATTAATTTCTATATATAATAGATGGATGATGAAGAATTTAAAATATTTCTTCTATTATGGTTGTGGAGAAAACGACAACAAAGAATACAACATCGAAGATCAGCTCCACGTTGGTGGGTTCGACCTATTTTAACCAATAGACTTGAGCAGGGAGCTTACAGTAATCTTGTTGCCGAACTACGCAATGATGTTGAGCTCTTTTTTAATTACCACAGAATGACACCAAACCAATTTGATACCCTACTACATAAAATAGAGCCTCAAATTTCTAAATTATATTTAACTAGAGAACCTTTACCACCTGGATTACGATTATCTTTAACCTTACGATATATTGCTGCTGGAGACAGTATGGCTAGCTTATTACATTATCAGTATCGAATTGGACGAGCTACTACGTCAAAAATTATTGCGGAAACTACAAAAGTGATATGGGATGTTTTACATCCGGAAGTATTACCTGTATTAAAAGAAGAGGAATGGGCTAGCATAGCTCAAGACTTTGGGGATATTTGGAATTTCCAAAATTGTGTTGGGGCTATCGACGGAAAACATGTAGTTGTACAGTGTTTCAAGAATACAGGCTCTACTTTTTATAATTATAAAGGAACATTTAGTATAGTACTTCTCGCAGCCTGTGATGCGCAATACAGATTTATATATGTAAGCATTGGATCAGCCGGAAAAGAGAGTGATGGTGGTATTTTCCAATCATCAGATTTTGGAAAAGATATAATTGAACAAAAATTACCCTTGCCTCCACCAACTGTTCTTCATGGATCAAATACTAGAGTCCCTTTTGTATTTGTCGGAGACGCAGCATTCCCATTATTGGAAAATTTAATGCGGCCTTATCCCGGTGTTAATTTAACACCAGATCAAATAATTTTTAATTATAGAGAAAGCAGAGCTCGAATGTGTATTGAAAATGCGTTTGGAGTAATGACATCAAGATTTCGTATTTTTAGAAAACCAATAATTGCATCTCTTGAAACTATACAAAGTATTGTACAATGTTGTGTTGTTTTGCACAATTGGCTTCGGGACAGTGAGCTTCATCTTGCACCAGGACAAAGAAGATATTTTCCACCATGTTTTGTTGATAGAGAAGATCGAAGTGGAAATTTACAAATTGGACAATGGCGTGAAGAAAATGAATTTCTCGGACTACGAAACCTTAATCCAAACGCAGCCAGGAATTCAACGCAAGTGGCCAAAGAAGTTCGGGAAATTTATAAAAATTATTTTATGGCGGAAGGCAGTGTCCAATAGCAGTGGGATAAATTACCAGAACACCAAAAAAACTGGTATTTGCAACAAGCAAATAATTAAGGTATGTTTACAATAATATAAAGTGTACAATAAACTGAGTCAATAAACTGAATAAATAATATTTTATTTTAACACATTGAACATTTAACTCTTTTATTTTAACATTTTATTATTAATATAACTTAATTAATATATAAACAATGTAAAATTAATAACTTTAATTAATGTCTTCATTTTCTAAAATTTCTTCAAATGCGCTTAAAACTTTTTGCCTCATAAAGGCCTTCACACATAAAATGCCGTAAGGACATAAAACGTAAGCGTAAGAAAATCTATCAATCCCAATCGAGTATTTTCCCCTACTGGGATTACGTACAGCGTAATACTTGATTCCAATGATTGATAT